CCCCACAGCCCCCCCCCAAGCCCCGCTCTCCTCAGGGAACCGGGGTGCAAGGGGGCAGAGCGGGTCCGGCCCCCGCCGTGTCTCCCAGCAGCCAGGCCGGGCCGGGCCGGAACCGCCCCCGGCACCGGTAGCTGGGCCGGGCCGGGTCCCCTCCCCACCGGCATCCGATCCGGGCCGGGCCGGGCCAGGCCCCCTCCCCACCGGCGGCCGGACCGGGCCCCGCGCTCACCCGTGTAGTGCACCACGCAGGTCTGGCCGCGCTTGGGGAACGTCCGCCCTGCGGGGAGACACAGAGCGAGCGTGAGCGGGGCGGCCCCGGCGGCGGCGCCGAGGGGACGGGAGCGGGGCCGCCCGCACCGTCGCCGGGGGCGATGGTCTCCACATGGACGCCCATGGTGCCGGTGCCGCCGCCGGTGCCGCTCGCGCTCCCGCAGCGCCCGCAGCCCACGGAGGAGGGGCCACGTGTGCGCAGCCGCCATGGCGCCCGCCGCGCGCCCCGCCCCGCCCGCGCCCGCCGCCATCTTGCGCGCCGCCTCCCTTCCCGCCCGCCCGCCGCGCGCCGCCATCTTGGCCCCGCGCGGTTGCCCTGGCGACCCGCCCGGCGGGGCCCGCGCCGGGACCGGGCCCTGCACCGGGACCGGGCCCTGCACCGGGACCGGGCCCTGTACCGGGACCGGGGCAGCCGCGAGGCCCCCGCTCCGCAGCCCCGGGACCGCCGCGGCCTTGCGGGCACCGCGGGCTGCCTCCGAGACAGCACGCGACGGCTCTGTCACCGCTGCTGGTCCCGGTCACCACTGCCACCGGGGTGCTCGGACGTTGCCCATCCTGAGGGGACGGGTACCCACACTCAAGGACTTTCTCCCCGGAACGAAAGATCTGCCTTTCTTTTTGCTTTCTTTTTTTCCTATTTTTTCCCCTTTGGATTTTAAGCAGATCTTCGCAGGCACAGATTTCTTTCTTTTCCATCAAAGTGTCCTATTTCCTGACACAAAGTAGATGAACTTGAGTGTCCCCGGGGAATAGGGAAGTTGCAAGGACAGCCAGGAGACTCATAAAAGGCGGCAGTTGCAGCAAGTGCCTTAAAAGGGGACACAAGAGGAGACTCTTTAAAACAACAGATAAGGGGCTGAAGCAAGAGCTAATTGTTCCTATTTTTTGCTTGCATCTGTTAAATACTGAAATGTCACTTTTTTTCCCGCTCCTGCTTTACTTCAGTAGCATTTTTTTTAAAAAATATATTAAACCTGCAAGCCAGTGGCACCTCCTTTCCCTCCAGCATACCGCTGGCACCAGAGGGGTGACAGAGTCAAGACAAAAAGGAAAGGGTGAGAAAACGGACCCAGTCTTGTCCCTTTGGGTCACTGGGGGCAAATGGAGCCTGCCTTCTCCCCAGGGGCCACCAAGACGCAGGGAGGTGGAAGGGGAAAATACCACCCAATTTATACACACGAACAGTGCTCAGGAGCACTCATCGCTTCAGCCTCCGAGAGCTCTCACCCTGAACTGCATTTTTTTTCCATTTTTCTCCTTTCTAATTCCTGGTAGAACCTGCTCGTCTTGCCAGCCCCAGCAACCAGCAGCCTCTGGCAAAACCAGCGCCGTGGCAAGGAGAGGAACTCAGGCTCCAGAAGCAGAAAAGGGCTCCGGTCAGAGTCTGCTCTCTGGAGAGGGTGAAGCAGCCTCAGAACGGATTCTGCGGACTCTTCATCTTAGTCTTTGGATCCTTTTCTGCAAGAACTCACACAATGAATGCCGAAAGGGAGAAGTGGCAATATCCACAYTTAATTGTGTAAGAAATGTGGGACGTTTTTTGGCATACAAAAGTGYTGCTGTGGGTAGAAGCAGGGCGGAAGGCTCCAGAAGCGCCAGCAGGATGTCCCTGCGCTGCCATGGGGCTGCGCTCCGGAGGAATCCCCTCCGCTGTCCCCAGGAGCGGCCGCTTCSGAGCACACCGTGCGCTCCGGAGCGCTGCAGCTCCGCAATTCCAGAGCGTTCCTGTGTGTTCAAAGGCGCTCGCCTGCTCGCCAGCCCACGGGAAGGGCACCACAGGCTCGGGCGCTTGCAGGCAGCACCCATGAGGCCCCAGCAGAAAAACGGAAGCCCTGGGAAGCGGCTTCCGAGTGTGGCTGGTTGCGGACGCTGTGACGCAGCATCTTCCCCATTCCCCTTAAAGCAGCATCGCAGGGCGGAGGGTTTCAGATGAAGCTCGGGCACCGCCGGGGCGCCGTTTGCTGGGTGCTGGTGCCGTGCAGCAGGCGAGCGCCCTGCAAGGTCGGGCAGCGTCAGCTAGAGCTGCAGCCCTGTAAAGAAGAGGCCTCGCTCGCAGCCCCTGCTCCCCGCACCCAGCTCCCTCCTTGCTCCTCTCTTCCCCCCGCTGCCCCCACGCTGTTGCCAGGAGAGAGGGGGGACTGGGAAGCTTGCACAGGATGCTGCTGGGGGAGAGCAGCTACGGGCGGTGATCTCAAAAGCAGCTCAGCTGATGCTCCGATTCCTTTGTCACTTCAGCTCCAACCTCCTGACACGGTGAAACGGGGACGGAAGGTCTGAATTGCCAYGAGTGCCCGAGCTGAGGCAGCCCGGGCCAGGCCTGCGGGCGGCTCTGCCAGGAAGCTCCTCGTTTGCCCTGGTTCTCAGCTAATGAGAATTAACAAGGCACAGACATATGTGGCTGTCCCTGCAGTGCTGCCAGGTGTGGTCATTTCTGCACACGCTTTTATATGGACTGAGCTTCACGYTTCTTCAGAGAAATTGCGAAGGGACAGTGTAAGCATGTGACACACGCTGCCGAGGGAGCGCTTTCTCCCAGAGCTCGCAAAAATGCCGTAACTTCCCTTAAAAAGGATCAACTGCACCAGGAGCTTTTGCCCCGTGACTACGTGGCAGCTCTGCAGCCTGTGTGGCTTGAGAGCCCCTCTGCAAAGGGGCTCCCGGCGCCCTCCGACCTGCACACCAGGACAAGGAGGGGAGCCGGGACCGGCCTCTGGAACACGAAATGGAAAACAACAGGAAGCGGGGAGTTTCCTGGAGGGCAGCACGCGCCGACAGCRCTCTGCAGGGCCGGGCTCTTCCCGGAGGAACTCACCGGGGCAGGGCTTGCTTCACTCCATGCCGCTGTGCTCATCCTGGTGCCTGGCAGGAGGAGCAACGGGAGCACTCGTGAGACCCACTGCCCTTGGAAAAAGTGCCCTTGCACTTGTGAGACTCCTCAAGCCCTTGGAAAACGCCCCTGCGGAGGGGATCCCGGTACAGAGACCCATGCTACACGTCCCTCCCCGCRCAGCCTTTCTGCCTTGGGCTAATTGCAGTGCGGACACCCAGACCCCATAARCCCAGACCCACCTCCCCCACGGAGCGTTACCCGATTGCCTCCATCTCCCTCCTCATCTCTTTCCTCCTCTCCTCGTCGATGGGGTAGGTGCAGAAGATGATTACGGCGAGGAGCAGCAGGCCGATTGGGACGGGGGCCATGAGCAGCCGCAGGGCCAGGACGACGGAGGGCTTGTGCGTGCAGTCTCCAGCACGGTACCCTGCGAAGCTGGGGAGCAGCGTGGGGGGAGGCGGCACCCCCAGCCCCGGGGCCCGAGCAGGGTCTCAGCAAGGGTTGGGACCCTGTGGGGCAGCCCCGCTGCCCGTGCCAAGGATGAGCGGGCACTTCTGCCGCTCCGGAGGCTGCAATCAAACCCAGCCTGGGGATAACCCGTTCCCTCCTGCTCCTCTGACACTCAGGACATGTTGGAAAGACAAATTGGGATTTGCCTGTAACCCACCCCAGTATCTCTTGTCAGACAAAACAGGAAGGATCCGTATCCTTCAGTATCCAACAGCCGTGCTGSAGTGGCAAAATAGGGAGAATAACATTTGGCACTTACTGTAAAGTCAGCGTCGATATCCCCACGGCAAGACCACCTGCAAACTTGTTGAAGAAGACGTAGAAGGAGTAGAAGAGAGCCTCCAGGTTGGTGGCGCCAGGGTTCCTCAGCCTGAAGTCATCCACAGCGTCTGGCAACATGGACCTGGGGACACAGCCCCACGGGGGCCGTCACGGGACCCACCGGGGCGCGTCCGCGCTCGCCTGCCGCCGCTGCCGGGCCTCTCCGGCCAGCAGGAGAGGTGCAGCCCCCCGCAGCCCCTGCCCTGAGCCTCTTTGGGCCCTTTGCACTTGGGGCAGAGAACATCTSACAGATTGCGCAGATACTTTGGGAAAGGCAGCAGAAAACAACGCTGTTTGCAGAGCATCCAGTGCCGAAGGGAGAGCTGAGCGCGGGCTGGACGGTGCTGCGGGGAGGCCTCGCTCCCCAGGATCCCATCCCTGCCCGGTCCCTCCTGCACGTGCCCGCGTGCAGCCCTCGCAGAGAAGCCTTGGTGCCCTCCCGCCCCGGGTGGCTCGGGGATGCCTGCACTCACCACGGCAGCAGGTAGAGCACGGCCATGCTGCAGCCCGCCACCATCATGAGGAAGATGAAGGCCAGGAAGTTGTGCATCACCTGGGTGATGGCCACGAGGGCTGGGATGATGAGCTGGGGAAGGGAGAGGAGAAGGAGCATGTGGGAGAGCACCRGGGCTGGGCTCCCCTTGCCCACACGCTCACAGAGAGTGGCTGAAACCCCCCGTGTCCTGCCTGGCCTCCCCGTGTCACCCGGCTTGGATGTCCCTCCCCACGTAGCACTGTCCGGCACAGCACCGGTCCCTGGAGCAGAGCTCTGGAGCAGGAAAGCAGCTGCAGGGTGACATGGGTGCAGGTGACAGCGGCCCTTGGGACGGCACCCAGCATCAGGCTGCTCCCTGGGCAGTGCACAGCTCAGGCCGAGACAGCTGAACCAGGACAAACTCACCAGCAGGCCCAGGGACACGGCTGTTTTCTTCCCAAGTCTCCCCAAAAGCCACTGCCAGAACGGGATGGAGAGGGCAGCTGTGACCTGCGGAGAGAAGCAGAGGGGACTCTCAGCAAGACTTCCAGCTTGTGCAGGTACGTGCCTGGCTGCCGTCCTCGCTGGCAGCGAGCAGCAGCAGTGCTGATGCCTCGAGGTCCAGATGAGACATGTGGCACTGCCACCCCACTGGAGAGCCCAGGTAATCCGGGGATCTGCTGAAGCAGCCAGGGACAGCAGGGCCAGAAAGTGTCACTTACCAACATGATGAGCACCAGATGCTGGAACTTGCCAGCCAGGCCTGCAGCGTGAGTGCAGAAGGTGGCAAAGATCCCCTGGGCAATCTGGGAGGGGAACRTGGAGACATTCATGTTGTAGTCCCAAATTTATCGGCTGCCCCTGGAGAAGCCGCCTGGAGCACCTCCCCACCAAGCTCTCCTGCTGCCAAGGCCGGACACGCACCTGGAAGGCCAGGGACGCGCAGAGGAAGCCGCACAGCAGCTGCACGTAGGGCTTGTGCTCCACGATCATCCTCAGGCAGCTCCCAAGGGACAACCCAACCTTCCCCAGGGGGCTGAGCGGCCCTGGGAAGAGATGCAGCGCGGCTGGCAGCGGAGCGGGCGCCACAGGGGACGGTCCTGGTGTGCAGTGCAGCTCAGCCTGCCCTCCCAGCACCGGGCCTCTCCTGCCCTGCAAGATGCCACCAACAAGCCCAGCAAGATGCCACCAGCACAGCCCGAGGGGCTGCAAAGCTGGCAGCCGTTGCCAGAGAGACAGCCGGGCAGAAGAGCGTCGGGGTGTGGGCAGGTCCCATGTTTCTGCCCGTGCTGGAAGAGTCCCCCAGCCTACAGGGGCTTGGCTGTCCCATGCCTTCCTTCATGCCCACCAGCAGCATCAAGATCAAACACCATCAAAACAGACCTTACCAGGCTGTTCTCTTACTCCAAAGACGAGAATGAGGCAGGACAGCAAATAGATGGAGCCCAGGACCAGGGACGCGGCTACGTAGGCCCTGTGCTGGCGGGCAGCAGCGAGGCCATCATCACCGGCGGGTAGGACACGTGTGGGCGGCATCGCGGCCGGCGGCGCCGGAGCYGACGGGCAGCCCCTACCGTGGTGTCCAGCGAGGCGGCGAGGCCGGCGGAGCTGCCGTTGGCCACGGTCCCGTTCGGCACGTAGCAGCTGTTCGCCATGCGGGCATGRTAGCTGCCCACGAGCTGCCCCTGAATCCCCGAGCCCAGGAGCGTGCTGAACACCTCCATGCCCATTCCTGCCAGGAGAACMGGGAGAGGCTTCAGTCCCACCCGCTGGCATGGAGAGACACCCCCAGGAAGGGCAAGAGAGCAGCTTTGGGTGCGGGATTGGAGGCACCGACCTCCAGAGCTGCCCCGGAGGGTGAGACCCGCTGCCGGGCACAGTCACTTACTGTAGGCAGTGGCTGAATCGCGATCCCTCTGGGTCCCTCCCAGGAACATTGTCAGGGAGGAGTAGGGCACGTGGTAGCACTGGGGAAGGGCACAGTTCAAACACAGCCCTGGCTGCCGCTTCCCTGCTTCGCCTCCCATGCCCTCCTCATTCCCAAGCACRGGGGATGACGCTGCCTCCCACCGCACCCCGCGCCCAGCCAACCTGCTGCCCSTTCTGCCACGACCTGCTCAATTCACAGCGCAGCGATGGAGGGGTTCGCTGCAGCCCTCGCAGGCAGCCCGTGCAAATGCCAGCACTCGATTGCACTGCTGCATCCCTCCGTGCGCTGCTGGGAGGGTCTGCAGCAGGGAGACCTCACGTCCTGTGCTCCCCAGGGCCCACGGGACTCCCAGGGAGGATGTGCCGAGCGCTGCAGGCAGCCCCGGCAGCCTGGTCCTTACGGTCATGCAGGTCTGGAAGCAGCTGTATGTGAAGAGGTACCACAGGAACTTCAGCGGGTCAGAGGTGGTGCCCGGGAACGGGGCCCACATCATGCAGTAGCAGAGCACCCCGAGTGGCGTGGAGCCTGCGATCCTGCGGGACAAGCGGCACCCAGGTCACGCTTCCTGCTGCGAAACCTGAGCACTCAGCTCCGTCCTCCCCCCAGCCCCTAAACCACAGCCCAGGCCCTGCGAGATCGAGGGCTGCGAGAGGAAGCTGGAGGTGGGGGTTAAACACAGTTGTTGAGACAAAAATGAGTGTCTAGGTGGTCCAAAATTGCTTATTCTCTTATTTAAATACTTGGAGTCCTAGCCCTGCAGCAKAGCCTCGTGGGCAGCAGTATCACCCATAGTTTGAGTTTATTGCCCATAGTTTGAGTTGCTGGAGAGGTCCCGACACAGCTCATTGTGCCGGGTGTCTTGGGAAGATTTTAGCAAGTCATGGAGCCTCCACAGCCCTGGAAGGGAAAGGACTCAAGGAACCAGCAAGCGTTTGGAATAGTCTCCCTGTTTTCCATCACCATGACATACGGACCCCACTGCAAGTGACGTTATGGAGATCCCAAGTGTCTCCCTGTGTTAACACGGAGGGAATTTGAGCCCAGCGCAGACCCCGCTGAGGTGCCAGCTCGGATGCTCACCATGGCATCAGCTTGCCGTATTTCCTCCTTGGGCTCTTGCTCACTAGGAAGCCAACAGCAGGATCGGTAATAGCATCCCAGGCTCTTCCAAGGAAAAGGATCAGAGAGGCATGGAATGGCTTCAGCTGGGGGGGGAAACAAGGCACAGCTCTAGAGGAAAAGCAGTCCTGGAGAAGAGCTGCAGCAGTCAGCRCAATGCACTTTGCTCTAGGCAGTATTTCAGCTGCATCCCCTGGGGACCACTCTAAGCCTTGAAATGGCCTAGAAACATCTCTGCTATAACCACGAGTTGTTCCAGTTTTAGTGCCCGATTCAGATGAGTGTTTCTAAGGGCTTCACCACCCGTCACCCTCCACCCTTGCCCCAGCCTGCCCGGTTCATTTGCCGATTTGTCCCRTCTCACCTGGCTGCTCACCTGCACGACATCCAGAAGGAAGATTTGGAGGAAAAACCCGAGGACGTTTCCTGTCATCTGGTAGGGAATGCCCCCGAGGGCGTAGCAGAGCTTCGTGCGGAGGGGCACCCCGGGCTGCGCCTGGAAGCGAGACACCGAGGGACACGGCRGCCCGAGAGCAGCCCTTGCCCGTGGGACAGACCACGCGCAGCCTTCGCCCATCTCCGCACGGCACCCCAAGGCCAGCGACACCCTGAGTCACGTTTGTCCCCTGCCTGGATACCCTTGCCTTCCCTTTGGCTGGACAGGACCCGCAGGCCACATGGACGTGGCAGCTGGGGAGCTGTGGGGAGCTCCCCTGTTTGGTAAACTCAGTGGGTCAGCACGTAAAATAAATGCATCACGATAAATGCAGCAGATAAGCTGCCGCCACCCGGCCCAGCCCTGCTCTGCAGGGTTCTGTGTTCCCCATCAGTCTCCGGGTCGTCTTGAAGAGCTGCTCCCAGGACAGTGCCGGGGAGCRCCCTGTGCCAAGCGCCTTGCAGCCCCTCCTGGCAGCCCACGCCGCAGAGAGGGCCTCGATGCTGCTGCGCCCACCGTCGAGGAGCTGCCGCTGCCCGTGCTCAGGCTCCGAGCCGCCRCGGGCTCCTCCGGCCCAGCCTGTGGTCCCGTTTCCATTCCACCTTCCACTGGGGAGGCAGCTCCCTTGCACCTCCAAGCACAGAGCAGCCCCATCCTTCAGGCTGGCTGGAGCGCTGCGTTTGCACCACCGCTGTGGAGCACTTACTCATCCAACATGCTGTTGCCACAGCAGCCCTGTTACTAAAATTACAGAGGCCTTTCTCTAGACTGGAGGCTTTGCGGCAGCTCTTGTTCCCTTTATGTTCCCTTTATGTTCTCCGCAGGCAGGATGGGGCTCCGCGCGTCTCTGCTGTTTGACTTGAAAGTCGACAGAAGCATTGGGAAGGCAGAGCCCTCCTCTAAACAGGGTGTCGTGGGGCCTGGGTCAGGARCCCCTCGAGGTGCCCCATGAGGGTGACCCCGCGCATGGCACACGAGCGAGCGGCGCCCTCGGCTGCTCCTCCTACCTCRCCAGCACCACGGGTCCGTCTCCGCAGGGACACAGCTCCTTCCTGGGCCACACAGGGCAGCTCTGCGTCGCCCGACGGCATCGCAGCGGCAGCGGCCGGGACACAGGGCAGCCTGGTCTGGCTCGGAGTCGTGGGCAGCACCGCGAGCCGCACGGAGCCGTGACGAGAGCAGCAAGAGGCAGCATCGCGAGGCCCCGGGGAGAAGTGGCAGAGGAGAGGAGAAGTGACGGGCCCCGAGGGAGGAGCTGGCCGGACCCTGCGTGCGGGGCGCTGCAGGGCGCCTCTGGGGCTCCCTGCAGCCAAGCAGAGAAATCYAGAGCCCTTCAAATGTCACGCTGGATCCAGCGCTTGGTCCCCATGCCAGGGCTGCTGCCACGCTAGGAATCTCAGGATACAGAGGGGAACACGGTCACCTGAGCAATAAACCACCCAGAGCCTGAGCACCAACCACCACAAACCACAAAGAGCAGAAGTGCCAAGGCCAGGAGGGCCCCAACGGCAGCCCGGACAGGAAGGTGGCGGCTCCGGGTCTCCCACCAAAGCCCCTCTCTCCCCACCGGTCCATGGGGCAGCTCAGGTGCCCGGGCAGCCCGTGGGGGCTGTGCCAAACGCGCTGCCTTTGCCCTGCGCCCTCCCTGCTGGGCACAGGAGGCTGCGCTGCCCTGGCCGTGTCCCTGGGGATGGCAACGCGGGGGATATTTTCCTTTCACTGTCAAGATCACTGACTATCAGCCRTGCTCAGCCTGCGGGCTCCCGAGAGCGCTCTCCTGGCAACGCGGAGCCCACGCAGCATTTGAGCTGTGTGACAAGAAACGTGCTTTGCTTAGTCACCTCTCCCAGACCCTTTGTAGCCCGGAGGTGCCAGCGGTCTGGTGGCAACCACGGCTGCCCCGTTGGCAGCAGCAGGAGCTTGGTCACCCGCTGCTGCCTGGGACGGTGGCACCGCTCCAAGGCAAAGGGTCTCATCCAGCAAGCGGGCACCCCAGGAAACCCGCTGCAGGGCACGGGAAAGGGGCGCCACGGCCTCCCGCGCTGCTCACACTCGTTCYGTGCCCACTCTTCTTGGACAGGTCCCGGACGGCCGCCAAGTGGAACCCGGCCCGGAGCAGCGGTTCTGGAAGCGGGAGCCTCTGCTCACCCCGCTCCCAGCTCACTTGCTGGAAGCATCAGCGCCACCAGCACCTGCAAAGCTGCACGCAGCGTTAGAAAATGTGGTGGCTCAGCTCAGTCTTGTTCAACGGGGGTTAATCTGGGGATTTAAGAAAAAAAAAAAGGAATTTCACAGCCTGAGTTACTGAGTTAGAACTTAGCTAATAAGCCACAGTGCAGCTGAGTCAGTGGCATCTCTTTTCAGTGCTATTTTACTGACATCTCAGATAACAAATATCACTCGTGCTGGACCACAGCCAGTGCATTAGGAGCCAGATCCCTRTCTCCCACCAGCACATTTAAGCACACTTTTTTATAAGAAGGGAAAATACATCTCTAACTACCCAAGAGGAAGAGGGAAACTCAGAAGAAACCATCCCCGCTCCCACAGCCGCTTCCCGTGCTGGATGGGCAGGGATGGCCACACGAGTGCCCCCAGGGCTGTTGCTGCTGTAGCCAGCAAAGAGCAGGTGGAATGGAGAGCAATGCAACGTACCTGAGTAAAGAAGAACATCTGGAATCTGTTCAGGGACTCCCAGTGCTGGGACACGCAGGTTGAGCGCAGATTAGGCAGAACAGCATCAGACAGGCAGTTAGGAACACAGCAGGCCAGAAAATGATGAACTGGTAAATGGAGAGGCGCTCGACACAGGAACTGTTCAGCTGCCAACATGCAGGCCTCTTGTACAATCAGTGCTGTACAGGCAGCTGTAGAAGCGCGCAAGTTGGGAAGTTGGGATTCCTTTGGAAAACCCTTTATGATTCAGTATTTAGAAYGGATTTCTCTTTCAGTTCTAAGCCCGCAGGATCCCTGACGTTCGCTCACTCCGTGTGAACGGCGACGGGGCCTGGCTAGCACTTCGGAAGCGGCGGCTTGTGGAGCGCGTGTTCCAGCTCCCAGGGCATCATCCCTGCCCTGCACACTCGTGCYAGGCAGTGCAGCACGTGCATTATCTACCAGGGCAAGAGCAAGACTCGCAGCCCTCAGTAAGAGAGAACAGGGCTCTAAAGCAGAGCTGCTTTCCAAACCAAACACACATGAGCTCCAGAAAAGCACCCCAGGAGCAGAGCAACCTCAGTCACTCAGTTGTGCCCCAGCGAGATCCAACTAAATATGAGGGAAGCCCAAGTCCCACCCAAACCCAAGCCACAGCACAGAGGCCACTTATTAGTTCTCAAATAATTTATTATCGCCCCACACTAAGAAGCAAAGACTAAGATATGAGTGATTATAATAAAAAGCAACAAAAACATCCACCTGTTTATAAACAATGTAAAAAAAAAGGGCAAAATGACGACATCCTGCCCAGCCGCAGTGCCCGCTCAAGTCACTCGCTCTGCAGCAGGTTGTGCAGAACCGGGCGGGTTGTGGGCCCTGCCTGGCCGAGTGACATCCRCACAAACAGCGGGAGGGACAGGAGTCGGAGGTGCAGGGACACCTGGAAAGGGATGCGCCTCCTCCCAGGATGTGGAAAAAGAGTCTGGCCGTAGAAATATCCCCGGAGGAGGCAGCCGCTGCCCATGGAGAAGGGATCGGAGCAGGAAGCAGCCGATAGCAGAGGTGGCGTTACGGATGGGAGGAAAAGTCACAGGAAAGGGTGCAAAGCAGCCTTTTGTGAGGAAGCGCTATCAGAAAGCGCAGCAGCTAGATTACAGCCAGCCGGACACGCGAAAAGGAAGAGGAGGAAGCAGTGAGCTGTACAGGAAGGAAGGCCACGTGAGGAAGCCGTGCAAGCAGCGAGCAAAGCGGAGCTGTTGAAGGACAGTGTGCAAAGAGGGACCCTCGGACACAGTGAGACGTCAGCCACGGGTGAAACAGCACGGGAGGGGAAAAAGGGGTAAAAAAGGGAGCAAGGTTTTGCACGCGACATCAAGCACTGCTGTTAACGCCAARGCGTGCGAAAGAACAAGGCAGGCAGAACAGCACTGTGAGAGAATGACCAAAAAAAAATTACAAAGAGAAGGTTTCCCAGGCACAGGAGGAAGATGAGGCGCTTTCCTGTGGGCTGMATAGAGCACATGCATAGCTTTGAGATTAGCCCAATCTCAGACCATGACTGCTAGAACACAGAAAATGATTAAAAAAAAAAAGCGATTCTACTACAGAGTAAGCCAAGTAAACTCACTAACAATAATCCCAACCTGCATCGGCAGCAGAAACGCACATGCACCTTCCTGCCAGGGCAAGGTAGAAAGAAACACCCAGAGGCTGCCAGGTGATACACCCAGCGAGGCTGCTCATACGCTGCATAACAGCAGTGCGTCTCTTCCCACGTCTTCCCTTTGCACGTTTTGGTTATTATTCCTTCCCTATTAGTAAGTAAGCAGAGGCCCGGAGCAGAGCGGACGCGGCGCGCGGTCCCTTCAGCGGGCGCCGCTGGGCCTATCTGGGATCCTGATAGCGCTGCGGGGCTTCGCCGGGACACGGCGCCCAGAGCCCCGCGGCAGGATGGAGCTGAGCCCGCGCACCGCCAGATAAGGGCTTCCCATTACTGACCAAAACAACAACAGGGGAGGGCGCAGGGAAGAAGGGCTCCGGTCGGGAAGGCCCCGAGCACCAGGAGCAGCTCCCTGCGGAAAAACCGGAGCCGCCTTCCAGCAGGAACCCCCATGCAGGGCGGCGTCTCTGCAGCACTGCCACCCTCCGGCACAGAGCACACAATTCACCTTTCATGGCAGAGAAACAGCTCCGCACGGCAAGCTACCCCTTTTCCACCCCCAAGAGCCATGCAATAGAAAACCTGCCTGGGAAACTTCCCCGCATCCAGCAGCATCCGTGCAGCAAAAGCCTCAAGGGAACCAGCAACTTTCCAGCTGCCGATCCCYATTTAATGTGGGGACCAGAGACCACAAGCCCCAGCTGGACACCTCAGTCCTCCGAAAGCATCGACAAACCAAGGCAGGAACAAGAGAGAAGTGGTTTCTTATCTGTTAGATAAACTGTCCAGCAATCASAAAGTTGATGTCCTAGGTCCCCAAGGTGGCACACGGGGGAGAAAGGGCAGGACACAAGGAAGCAAGACCTCCTGTGATGAGCCAGCTTCAAGTAAGTGTCCTCCAGCCATTCCTAGCTTTGAGGGAAATTCAGATCACAGACAGCCAAGCGGTCATAGCAGACAGCATCAGATGATGCAGGTAGAGCCCAGCTTCACCCAGCAGACCTTTAAAAATGCTGCCCAAATTTTCCAGTCTCCTGTTGCTGCAGAGAGGCAGCCCCRGGAAGCAGCACACGAGCTAAGAGCACAGCCCCAGGCGCCAAGTGCAGACATGGGCACACATGGGCACACACAGTGCCCGGCTACAGAAACAGATTGCAGCCACTATTAGAGAAGGTCAAACACCATGCTCCTCTTTTGCGTGTTTTTAATGATTGTTTTCACAATAATTTACAAATTTGCTGTTATGCACATTATATATCCAGTTAATGAAAAAAAATGAGTTAGTTTGACTCTCAGTAGAGAAACTGCTATTAAAAAATGCCCTTGTTTAGGCCTGGTAGGTACCCCAGCTCTTCTATATTAGCACGTGCAGCCAAGCGGGTTCCTCGTGCTGAACCTGTCCGACCCGCAGGCCCTTGCCCAGACAAGAGGTGCCAGTCTGGGCTCTGCTGGTGCCCGGGAAGGCTCCAGAGCGTGCACGGGGTGACCGTGCGGTGCAGGCAGGCAGCAGGCAGAGCGGCCCCTCACCAGGGTCTGGCCTTAGCGCAGCCCCTGCTGCGCGCAGCCCTGGGGTCCTGCTGGGACAGGGGCCCTGCGGCCAGTGGCAGTGCCACAGCACGACACGAGGTGGCACCCGGTGCCCGAACGGAGCCAGGGCCAGCAGGCCCTCACAGCCAGAAGCGATGAATTCCCACCCCCGGATTCTGTTCAAAGGAAGAAACACAGACCTGAGCCCAACACACAGACAGTGCAACAGAGCAAAGCTGGAGAATTCCAAGTGTCACAGGATGGTTGAGTCATTCTCTAGAGATCCAACTGCCTGCTCCAGCAGGGACACCCAGAGCACGGGGAGCAGAGTGGCATCCAGGCAGGTTTGGGAGATCTCCAGAGAAGGAGACTCCACAACCTCCCTAGGGAGCCCATTTCAGGGCTGTGGCACCCTAACAGGGGAGACATTCCCRTCCAGCCCTGTGAGCACTCAGCTGCAGGGAGGGCCTAAAGCACCCCACAGCCGCCAATTCTTCACCTGAGCCCTTCCCAGCATCTTGCTAATCCATCTTTTAAAACACCACCTCTCTGCTTTCCCAGTAAGAACCACTGCCTGCCTTTCAGCACTTCACACTGATTCAGCCTCATGTCCTCTTGAGGGGAAGTCAGCAGCACCTTGTGCTTCTCAAAGAAAAGCATCAGAGCAAGTTCAAGCTGCAAACAGTCCACCTGGCAGGAGGGGGTACAGCATGAAACCCACATGAGGTCTGCAGAGGGAAAGACAGTCAGAACTTGCTCTCCAGGAAAGGCCAGGAAGACACATCCAAGTTCTCCCCCTGCTCTAAACAGCAGCAGCTGTGTCACAGAGGTGCCCCACAACGTGCTCACRGGAGCGTCACCATTATCCGGGCAGGCAGATCAGCCCTTCTCGTGCACGATACTTACTGTGTGAAAACAGAGGATTTTGCAGCAGCCCTTGGAGGAGAGGGAAGAGTAAAAGACTGCTCTAAGTGGTTAATTGGCACAGATGGAAACTGCTCCCTTCCCCTTTACCTTCCTCCCCTCTTTTAGAGGCGTTCATGCAATCCACCAAGGTCACTCAACTCCCAGGGGAAAATCTGGGGCACAATAGGYTGCAGCTCCTTTCAAAACTGGTTTGTTTGGTTTATTTATTTTAAAGTCCACTGATCATCACCAAAAAAAAAAAAAAACCACGGGAAATGCAACTAAAGAGAAAAAAAGTCCAACCAAGACCTAAGAACCCAGCGCTAGGAGGAGATGTGAGCCTGTGCAGAACAGGGGCACGCAGGACGGCGGCCCCCCCGGGCAGGCGGGTTCCTTTATATCAACCGCTGCACAATGACGGCGTTGAGCAGGTTGGCTTCCTTCAGGGTTTGGTTCTCATCCGTCAGCTCTTTGTTTGGGAAGGTGGTCATGAGGATGAAGCTCGTGGCAGCCATTGCTGGCCGCGCATCTGCTATGAAGAGCCGGACGTCACGGATCCTGTGCAAAGGGATCAAACACACAAGGGGGATGCTGTTACTTCACACGCTGCAGAAGTGCATGGTGAGAGCCTAAACTTGCCTTTCCCAGGACATGCAACCCTGCAGTTGCTGCACTTGCTTCCCAACTAACAGCAGGGGCCACAGCCAGGCACATCCACCTCCTCAGCTAAAACCTAGAGATTCCAGCCCCTAAAGCGGCTGCAAGAGCGACACTGGATCTATTTCCTGTAGAAGATGCCTGAAGGAGGAGCCTACARCTCTTCAGCACTCTCCATCCTCCTGTTCTCAGAGCACTGGAGGATGCCCAGGCTCTCCAGGACCAGCTAGKGGAGAGCAACTTCAGGATGCAAGTCTGATGAAGGGATGGGCTACAGAGCCTGCCAGGCTCAGATGAGGTTAACAGAACTGCTTTAACAGCATTTCTCTGAGCTCCGGGCTGCACGGGGAGCAGCCCAGTAGAAAWGTCTCAGCTGAAAGTCAGAACAGCTGGATCAAGCTCCTAACTACCCCACAGCTTCTATASTTCTTAGGCTAGTTCAGTTTTCCACAGTTGACATTAAGGAAAGTTACACTGGTAACAGTGAAGCTCCTCCCAGATACAGTTATCACCAGCTACAATCTATCACTACCTGGAAAGCAAATCCTAACAGTTAGGAACTGCCTTAAAACGCCACAATAAGTTTGTTCCTATTCACCTATACAGAAGGATCCCCAGAGCTCCCTTTAGCAGGCCAGCCAGGCTTTTAACATCTGCTCCAGCTGTGCACAGTTCGCAGTGTCATTCAGGCCTTCCCAGTTAGTAACCTGTGTTTCCTGGTGCCTTTGTACCTGTGATTGTGGTTAAATTTCTGGACCAGTCGCCCACCGTCAGCGAGACGGATTTGAATGTTGGTGATGGGCTCCGACTCATCGATACTGATGGCAGAACTGGCTTTGGCTTCGTTCTCTGCCTGCTGGGCTGGTGAGCTGGTGCCCATCACCTGGGGGACAGTGCTGGGAACAGAAGGACACAAGGACAGTCGTTACAACCCAAAGGACCCGCCGAGCCCCAGGGCCACACGAGTCGGGCCCTGCAGGGGATCGGCTACCAGGGCCGCTAGTCAAGGGGCACCACGTAAGCCAGAAAAGTGCCGGGTCAAGACTGCAGGAAGCAGCTACTAAGGCCCCAGGTGAGCAGGCRCCTTCCTAGGGCTCCGGCTCTACTGCCTCCCACGGGGGCAGCACCTCGTGGCTGTTCAGCACCACAGCCGCAGTGCCTGATGACTATGAAACACCCTCCCACGTGGCCTCCGGGCACTGCTTCAAGTGTGGATCTGCCTGCTGCCCCAAAGGGCTGAGTCACCCCGCAGCAGAGCGGCACGTCCCACGTGCTGTGCGGGGCACCCCCACCTGCAGCTTCTCCTCGGAGGGAAGGATCCACGGGCTCAACCCACCAAAACCCTCCAGGGACTGTCACAGATCCCCGACACCCCCATCCCGGGCTGCTGCCTTCTCACCTGCCCAGCTTCTGTCCTTCTCCAGTAAAAGCTTTGAAGACACTTTTAGGTTTCACATAATCCTCATCACGGTGATCCTCCATATCCAGGTTCACTTGTCCGCCCCGTGCTAACCGGCGCAGCTCCGCCGGGACCTCCCTGCAAAGGGAGAGCATCGCAGGGAATCTGCCCCACGGGGAAAGGGGCTGCAGAGCAGAGAGGCAGCGCCAGCCGCAAGGTCTGGTGCAGCCACMGGGCTCCAGCTGTCAGGAATCCCAGTATATTTGTGCTTAATTTAGGTCACATACTTTCCACCTGATGCAAATTAAAGGTTACTTCACCTGGGCTCTAGCCTAGACCAACAGGCCTTGTTGCGACGCATCAGAAATTGTCACCTCAAAGACAAAAAGCCTGTTTGTTCACTTCAAATGCTCGAAGTCCCACACAAACCAAAGCTACTTCCCTGCTCATCTWAAGCAAGTCTTCAAATCCTCCCTCCAACAGTTTCCAGTCTGGAAACCTTCCTAAGAAAGGGCAAGTGAAATACACTACCAGTTCAGCACTCCAGTTCCACAAACGTCTTCATTTCACCATGCAGCCTTTTCTCTCTCCTCTCTTACCCTCTGCGGATATCATCCAGAAACTGGGCATTGGATGGATCCTGGTAGCTCCTCAGTTCTCCGCTGTCCAGACTGAACCCGCTTTTCCACAGCTTCAGAACAACGTGCACCTACAATCACCCCAACACAACAATCAGCTGCTGAAGCACCTTAGTAAGAACAACAGTCAGAAGGAAAGCACAAAGCTGCTGAGCAGCAGACAGGTTCCAGCAAGGCTCTTCTGGGTCAGTAAAATTAACATGGAAAAAGCAAAATAGACATTGGCTATGGAATTCACAGGAATTCCTAGAAGATGACAGCACTGCCTGCTTTTTGCTCACTACTTGAATAATTGCTATTAAAGAGGTTGAGAGCAAGATTCCTGTGACTAAGGAACACCCAGGTTCTTCAATAGAAATTCATCAGAAAATTACTTCAGACCCAAACACCTCTTATTTTCTCATCAGAAGAGGCACCCATCAGGCTTTCTAACTTTAACTCTGTGCTCTCAAGCGTTGCAGCTAAAGGACAGAAATCGCTCAGGTGACACTGTGACACTTACAGCACAAGAGATACTCACATCCTGCGCAGAGTTCTGCCTCCTCTCTCCGGCCACGTAGGCAGACTCCTCCTCTGGAGTAGCCCCAAGGCGATACCCTCCCCCGGCAAACGGCTGCAAGAGAGATGCAAAGAGTCTGGAGAAAAATAAATGGCCAAGGAACGGCTTAATTCCCCTTCCCAATACTGCTCTGAGTAAACGGGGGCTTCAGAGCATCAGCAACATACGTTATCCCGCAGTCACAACAGCCACCCTGAACTCCTTGATACACCTAAGTGGCTTTTCTTGCTACTGAGACACTTAAGCTAGAGCTGCACTATCCGGTGTCCAGACTCAACAGTTTTGAGAAAATTCCAGGGCTCAGTAGCCCTGCAGAGGGGGACAACAACGAGCAGATCCCACCATCAGAGAGACCAGGAAAGAACAAACTCATCCCTCCTCACTTTGGGCTTGCTGGTCTCGCCGCCGCTCTTGGCCGTCCGGTCCACAGCCACCGCTCCGTGCTCCTTGGCTCCTTTGAAGAGATCTTCCACCAGCTCATTGGGACTCTTCTTCCTTGGAGGGCCGACGATCTGCTGCCCGCTTCTCTCCGAGCCTCCAGCATAAAACCTGGACGGAAAGCACAGCCCTTCTGCGGTTTTCACACGGACCTGGGTGGCTCCGGGACACACAAGAGCAGTTTCAAACCAGGATATGGTTGGTCACTTTCAGACAGCTTAATGGAACAGCTCAGATGCACATGTTATTACCAATATAYCTTCTACTGCAGTCACATTAGTTGGGAATTACAGAATTTTAAACAGTGCATCAGAGCAAGAATGTGTCAAGTTATACATTTATCAGTGATAATCCCAAACTCTCAGCTCCCTCAGGCCTAGGAGAGGGTACAGCCTGGCAGAGCTCAGTTTCAAGTTCTAGAACCAGCTCTATTGTTAACTCCTAAATGGATTTCAGCAATTCTCTGACTTGCCTGATACCTTTTTTTAGCTCTTCTCCAAGGTGGAGGAATATAGGTCACATCCAAGCACAATTTTGAGAGAACACATACATTTCTTCTACACTTAAAGAAAAAGCCCACATCACACACCTGAGCTGGCTGGGGTGGGGATCAGCCTCATTCAATTACCTCCCATGTTAACCTCAAGTGTATTTAACTACTCACAGCTGACACTGTTGAAAACATTCCCTCTAGGACACCTTCAGGGGCAAAACTGCTGAAAAGGGGACCCACATTTTTCCTTTCCATCTCCTTAGCCTTTACATCGCCCTTAAAACTGCACTTTAAAGGGAAACAAATAAGCAAAAAGAACAAATGATCGCTGTAATTTTCCCCCATACGCGTTCTCTACAGACCCAAACGTTGCTCCTGACCTTCTTCTGTTCTTATTTTAGGGCTTGCATGTTCCACCTGAGCCTTTGCCCCCTCAGCACAATTCAGTGAGGAAAGCTGTGCCCTGCACTTCTGTACGGACCTCCGACTTTGCGCTGACCAATTCTGCTGCGTCAAGCCTGAGATTTCCCCCTGCGGGACTTGCACATCAATTTAAATCCACTTCAAAAAAATAAAGTGTCTCTAGACAAGTGGCAAACCATCACACGAGGACAGAGACTAAACCCCAGCTSTAAGCCTCGCACAGAAAGCTTACCGCTGCCCCTCTTCCTCTTCATCCTCCTCCTCCTGCGCGTGGAYGAGGTCTCTGAACGACGTCACCCGATGGTCGCTGCGAAGCAAAGTCGAAGCCGGTCAGCCTCGGCAYGCGTCCCAGCCACACGGGAACAGCTCCTCAACACACGCAGCACCTTAGAGCTGGGCTCCTTCTACRCTGCCACCCCCGCCAAGGTGGAGGACGCTTTGCAGTACGGACCTGTCTCGCAGTGCGACTCGAGACCACCTTCCGCACCCCTGCTCCGCGTGCCCCCTCTCTCTGAGCCGGGGCAGTATTTCCCTGGGATTTGGTACGGCCAGATCAGCTTCTTCTGGTGGAAAGTTTGCCCTARCCAGATAGGGTGTCACACAAAATAACTGAATATTTTTCCTCCAGGGATCCAATCTCCTTGAACAGGAGGGTTACCTACAAAAACTAACCAGTCACTTATTGACTCTCCTCTACCTTCAGCACGCCAAACGAGCTTTTCCTGAGCTACGAGGCAAGTTACCCCAACTGATCCCTGCACGAGTTGGGCAACAGCATCGGAGCCCAGGGAGCCAAACAAAACGCCCCAGTTCCTCAAGGGTCACACAAGGTGAAGGGGATCAAAACGCCCCGATGCTCCCTCTGATAACACCACACACCAGSACGTGAGATACAGCAGGTGCTTTTAACCAAGGAATTCGCCCCCAGTTTGAGGAGCCCCGGGCAAGTGGAGGAGCAGGGGCTGTCGCACCTGGGTGCCGGGCCCCTGGACCCGGAGCTGGCCGCGGGCTGGGGAAGGGTCAGGATGTCGTCGTCGGCGCCGTCCTCGTAGAAGCTGGCGAGGGCGAGCTGCAAAGAGACGGCGCGGCGGCTGCGACCAGGCCCGGCGCGCGGCCGGCCTGCACGGCGGCGCGTCCACGGGGAAGCCACCACAATTCCTGCTTGGAAACGACCGCCTCCAGGGGCCCGCSCCCCGCGCCGCACCCGGCCCGGGGCTCGGGGGGCCCGCGGCGCGGCGGCAGCG